TCTGCTCTTGGAGACCATCCCTGCTGCTGAGGTGGTGTGGAGAGCCAAGCATGGCAGGGGCTCCCCCAGGCCCTTCTTTGGGTGCAAAGGGACTCGGGGATCTCAGCTGAGCTCTTCAGCAGCTCTGGGCTGACACCGTCAGATGTGGTCTCCCCCCTGGAGGATACTGTGGGTCATTCAGACAGCATCCACACTGGTCTCATCCAAAAGGACACTGTGAGCCTGCATGTGTCTGGGTTTTGTGACAAGAGATCAGAGGGAGGAAGCGGGGTTCTTGGGGAACGCGGCTGGGGACAGAATCTCCAAGTGTGGCTGCATTCCCAAACAGATGCAATTCCCAGAAATCGCGGGCCTCTGCCTCTGTGCAGCCTCCTTCCTCCACTCTGGGCCATAGCCCTGCTCTGTGCTTCCTGCCTGGTCCAGAGGTGGCTTCCTCCAGGAAGTCTTCCAGCCCACAACAGTTGAGTGATGCTCTTCTCCAGGCTTCCGTAGCACCTGTCCTCCCAGCAGTGCCAGGCCACTGAATCCCTTCTGTCTGCAATCCGTCTCTGTCCTGTGAGCCCCCTGGGGTCAGGCTCTGGGTCTTGGTCATCTTTGCCTTTCTGGTTCCTGGTGTTGTGCTTGGCATGGAGTCAGCTTCTGTGACTGAGGAATGAGGAGTAGTGGGGCCAGCACTGAGCAGAGTGAGAGGGGCCAGGGCAGAAGCAGAGGCCCAAGAGCAGCCGACCCCCAGCTTCGTCCCCACCAGCAGGCTCGCCTGGCTGGCAGGCAGGTCCAAGTTCCTGCCTCCTATCTAAAGCACTCAGATGAGGCAGGAGCACCCCTGCTCCCCTCCCAGCCCTCCTTTTCTCCCTGGAGGAGTGGCCACCTGTCAAGCCTCGATGTGAGTGTGCCCAGGGGTGGGACAGGAGAGGAGGAGGACTCTCATGAGCAAGGAGGTCATTTGGAGAGCTCAGGTTACAAAAAGGAGCGAGGGCATTTGGGGGACCAAATGCATGGACAGTGACAATGATAATCATGTTCCTAGGGAAGGAAACATGTCCCTAGGACCTAGGATTGACTTGTCTCAGCAGAGGAGATGTTAAGGTTGCCCTCCGGTGAGGCAGTTCATCCTTAGCCTAATCCAGCCCCAGGGCCTGGGCCCAAGCAGCGAGTGTCTCATCCAGCCTGGAGGGAGGGGTCAGGGGACCCCTGATTCCTACTGCTCAGGCAGATGGCTTGGGGGAGTCATAGAGAGTCATGCTGCCAAGTATGGCTTGCAGATGTCCCCTGAGCCACACGAGGTGGCCAAGTGTTTAGTTAAGAATGATACCATTGGCTGTCAATTGGTAAGTGCATTGGGTGGCTCTGAGCCTCAGAGTCATGATCCTCCCTCCACCCCAGTGCTCCTGACAGCCTGTCCTTGGGGGTCATCCTAATCCCTTGACTTAGCCTTCAGGGCCTCTTGGGCCTCTCCCCCACACTCCTCCAGTCCTGCCTCCTGCCTGAGAAGTGCCTCTGACACCCTCTCCCTTCTTAGGAGCCACACTCCTGCCCCCACCAGACTCCTGTTACATCTCACTCAGACAGAGCATATGGGCGCCGTCAGTGCCCAGCCTGCAGGCGCTCCCACTCTCTCCTCCAACGCTCCGCTTGCTGAATTCTTGCCCTGATCCTGCTACTCCCTTGTTCGAAACCTTTGCTGGGTCCCCGCTGCCTGTCAAAATTGCCACAGATCCCTTAACCTGGCTTAATAGGCCCTTTCTGCGGGGGGTCCCCACTGCCAGTCTTCAGGCCCTCTCTGAGGTCCCCAGTGCTCTGGGGCTCCCAGCCTGTTCCCCCAACATGGAAAGCCCTCTTTGTCTTTCTCCATCTGCTGAGATCTTGTCCGGCCTTTCAGGCCCTGCACAAACAGAACCCCCCAGCCCAGTCCCAACTGTGTTCCTTCCCTCCTCTGAGCACTCCCAGGAACCAATCCCAGGGTGAGTGTCACCTGGAACACAGTTGTCTCAGCTGTTTTCTAGTCCCACAGGGTGCAGAGCATGGCCCTGGGCACAGGAGGGAGGGATAAATGGTGGGAAAGGCAGGTGTGGCTTCTGTCCTGGGAGTGCAGACAGCCCTGGGAGGCTCTGAGAATTAGCCACAGTTCCCTCTAGGGAACATCTGGGTGCTACCTCGCTTGTCTGTGCGTGTTCAGGCAATACAGACCATCACCATACGGGCCTGCGCTGAAGCTTCCACAGCCCAAAGAGAATCAGCTCTTTGCCATTGCAACTCCCACCCTTGCAGGGCTGCAGGCCTTTAGGATGCCCCCAAAGCCATCCATTCACCTGTTCAGCCTAACCCCTGTCCCTGCCCGCCTCAACACCTTCCTAGCTGCTCCCGGGGCAGTAGCATAAGGTCTCCAGATGTCACAGGGGCTGTAGGGATGGAGGGCCTGGCCAGCTGGGATGGAAGAGCATCTGCACTGCCTTCCCCACTCTCCTCCCCACCTGCCCTCTGACAGAGGCAGGGGAGCGGGAAGAAGAGGAAGAGGGAAATTCTCAGGTAAAACGTCCTATCTCTGGTCTCTGTGGGTCCACAAACCCCAGCCCTGCAGGCCTGCAGTCAATCAGAACTAATTTTTTCCCTATTCACCAGCACAAAGCTGGCCCTGACTAGCCACAGCGGGCCCTGGTGGAGGACTGGAGCAGGGGCCTGGGTTAGCTGCAGGACTGAGTGAGCTGAGGTCCCTGGGGAGAATCAGGGGCTGCAGGGGTGGGCTACCTGGGGAATCTGGGCCTTGGATATTTACCAACTGGGATGAAAGCATTTTTAATATTTATTTAAAATCTTTGAACAGCTAATATGGCTGCATCCATGTAGCCTAGTCCTGCCAGCCCTGTCCCAACCACAGTGCCCACACAATCATATCAAATCCAATTTAAAACCACATATTTTATTGATGTTCTTCATCAACAAATGCAGGGCCATGTGCACAAGCGCTATTCAAGTCCCACACCTGGCAACCTCCCCACGGTCACCTCCACTGACCGGTGTTTCAGGAGTTGACCCCCCTGAGGGTCTCTTTTTGTCCTCTCTTGGAATGCCAGGCCCCGTGGTGCTGAGCCCCCAGGAGGTGGCACAGGGCACAGCTGGCTTCCAAGCTGGAGTTCCAGGATGAATGAAATAAGTGATGAAAGAATGAATAAAGGCAGAAGAGAGCCAGGGTGGATTTTCCAGCCTCCCACCATCCCCGCCCCCTGCACCGCCTACGTATGGCCAGAACTGGGAACGCAGATGGCCCTGGTGACTTCTCCTTCAATGAAGCCTGGACTCCCCATTAGTCTGCCCTGCCACACCCCTTCCCTCAAAGTGGCCTGCCCTGATGACCACCAAAGATAGCAGAGTGACCATTTGTCAAAGGGTGGGAGTCAGTGTGCAGGGGGCAAGGAGTCCCTGACGGTAGGGATCTCATCGTCCTGTCCACCCCTGTATCACCAGAGCCTGACACTCGGCACATAGTTGGTGCTTGATAAATCCATGTTGGATAAATGTGTGACGGGAACAATGAGTAAAGGCAGAGGGGAGAAGCACGGGCCGTCAACATTAGGACATAGTCCTCTAGGGGGCATGAAGGCGGGGCCTTGGTCAAGTCCTCTGAGCTCTGCTCAAGAATTCAGTGTTGTACAGCAGGGTTGCGTTCCTGTGGCCACCCACCGGACACTGCAGGGTATGGGCTTCAGTCTTCTGCCTGGATGGATATCAGGTTGGCCTTGGGACCCAGTCAAGTGGCAGCACTTGTGTTGCGCCCACTCCCTCATGTGTCCCAGGGGTCTGGTTCTCTGGGTCACAGAACGTGTAGCCGTGCCCCCATCCAGGGCTACTCAGCCAAGCAGGGAAGGTCTGGCAACTGGACCGTCATATTCTGGTCATCCTCATCCCCCAGTCTTCACTCCCCCAGGCTCCTCCCTCAGAGTTGGACATGACCTTCAGGCTTTTCTCTCCCCACAACATACCTGACCCTAACACCCTTCTGGGTCTCCCTGTCCTCCATGGCCAGCCCTCTAAACTAGAAACATCCTGGTAGTCCTCACCACAGTGGCTGTATTGGGCCTCAAAAGTTTGTATCATGATTTTTCAGCCCTCTCCCCTGCCCACTTTCTCTCCATGAAAGCAAATAGCTCACAGACATCTCTGTAGCTGTGGCCTCTGGGCCCAGCAGTCACAAAGAGACTCTCCGAGTGGGAAGGGATTTCTTGCGAAAAAAATCCCTTGCACAGCATGTCTGACAGAGGCCTTCCTGGACCCCGCTAACCCTAACCCTGACCTCCAATGGCGGAGCTACTGCTTGCCCAGGTATCCATTCCAACATTGGCCATGCCAACATTGAAGCTTTAGCTGCTAGAATGTCCTTTATCCAGAACATAAATGAATGCATTAGCCCCTCCCTCCCCTAAGCATTCTTCCTCTAGGTTCATAAGAGCGCATCCCTCCTCTCTCTCTCTCTCTCTCTCTCTCTCACACACACACACACACACACACACACACACACACACACACCCTACCCTTCTATTCAGGGATACAGGGCTGCACAGTCACATGCCTTCTTCATTCATTGGGTGGCTCCTCTTTCCCTCTTCTTTCTCTCCCAACATCTGGCAAAACCCCAGGGGCTGGGGGAGGGCCAGGCAGGGAGGCCATTTGGTTGCTGTTTCCAGAGAGAGAGCTTTGAGCCTTGGGTGTGGGCACCAAGCCACTGTGCTCTTCGTCCCCAGAGGGGGTGACACATGCCCACCCCTCCCAACTTCCCTGGCAGTTGGCAGAGGGGACTTGGCTGCCTCTCGCCCATGGTGATTTTAGACATTTGCCAGCTTCCAGGTCTTGGGGAGCCCCGTACCAGCAGCAAGAGTCACTCCCCACCCCCAAGGTGAGGGGGAGTTCCCCGCAGACAGAGTGAAGGCAGGAGAGGTGGTAGAGTGGGGTGCACCAGGCGCAGAGGGGAAGGAGGGCCCCGAGAAGGGGAACAGAAGCAGAGACATCTGGTGAGAAGCCCAGCAGTGCCCGGTGGCAGTTCTTCCTGCCATGGCCCACCAGCTAGCGCTGTCCCTAGGGGTTGAAGATCAGGGGCGGGTGCAAGGACCTTACCAGTTGGAGGTTGCGGTGGATCACGGGTAGAGACAGATGTCATGGTCTTATGTTCAGAGGGAGAGAAATGATGGAGTGTCTGCTATTTGTCCTGCTGCTTAGAGCTCTCGCTTCCGACATTGAACATGGGGACCAGCAGGCCCAGCAGCCACCTCTTTCCGAAGACTTCCTGCAAGTTCTTGCGCCAGGGTCGGGCCCTCACTGCCACCCCCTTCCGAGCCTGGTGGCGGGTCTGCCCCCGGAGGATCAACAGCAGCTGGTGGCAGCAGAAGCCGGCGCAGGCCAGGCCGATGGCAAACCAGAGGTAGAGCATGAGGATGACGAACATTTCAGAACCGAGGACAGCTCCTGCGGGGGAGGGGAGACGACAGAGCCGCTTTACACCCAGGCCACGTATGGAAAAGCGATCGGGCAGGCGCTTTCCGCGGGGAGGGAGCGAGGGAGATTAATGAGATTGCAACTACATTTTGTAGCTCTCGCCGCGCTGCAGCGAGCGACAGGAAGGATGAACTAGTTGCCCCAACTTTTCCTTATGTTGATGGCTCCTGAGGGAAGGGGAGAGAACTGGGCATCTGGGGGGGAGAAGGGAGAACAGCTTGATAAGCTCAGAATGAGAACCCCCAGCTTCCCTGGGCAGTCTAGATGCTCTTACCGCCCCACCCCTCTTTTTCCTTTGAGGGGTAAGCTGAGGGCCCTTTAGGAACGGATGCCCGAAGCTGTCTAGACTGCTCTCTCCCTACAGGGCTGGGAACATTGTCCTGAAAGACTCGGGCAAGTGACAGCATGATGGAAAACAGGACCTAGTCATCAAAGGGGACAAGTCATGAGCTCAGCCCCAAAGGCAGGGAGCAGAGCACGGACTTGGGAGAATAATGCAGTCATTAATAGCAGCAAGAGGACGGTGTGGTCATCTGAACACTCTGCTAAAGCTGTCCAATCCGTCAGAGCTTGCTAAAGCTGGAAGAGGTCCCCAAGGTCATCAGTTTGACCCCCTACAGTGGGGCAACACCTCCCCTCAGGCCCTCTAAACCAAGCACTTTCTATTACTGCTTGTAAACATCCACTTAGTAAGAGATCCCAGTCTTCCCGAGGGTTGGGGGTGGGTGGTCCACACTGGGCTTGGAGCTCCCATCTTGTGGACTCTCACAAGTTTTTGAACCTGTGTTGCGGTTTGTTCCTCTGCAAAATGGACATGATAGTAATGATTCCCAGGGTTGCAGGATTCAAGGAAATGATGTATGAAGGGGTCAGCCTTCTGGTTTACATGCAGCCCAGCACTCCCCTGCTGAAGGTCATTTCACAGAGGAGGTGATTACATCCCAAAAGGGTTCGAGTTTAATTCCTAAGGCCACCAAGCCTTTTCCACCTTTCCAGGACTTGGAATCCTTCCTAGGCTGCAACTTTGCGCAGATATAGTAAAGACACCTACCTTGACCTACCTGGCAGTCAGGATGGTGGGTCCAGTACAGAACTCAAAAGCCCTCCTTAGCCCTTTGCTCCCTAGAAGACAACTTCTTTGCCACCTTCTCCAGGGAGATTTTGGGTAGCAGCTCCAGGGAACACCTGTTCTACCCCTGTACCTCTCCCTCATCTCTCCCCCGCCCTTCTACCAGCTCCCTTGTACAGGTTCACATCTTCCAAGGCCTCTCCAGGCTCTGATTTCCAGACTCCAGAGAATTGGGCTTTTGGTCCTTATCAGGTCTGAACAGTGTTGAACTTGGCAGCCAGGAAGAATGTGGGTCTGATTTGGGTTTTTTCATTAGCAGCCTTTTCTCCCCTCATCCCTTCGAACTTTGATTGCTTTTTTTTTTTTCTTTACAAAGTTGAAGACAAATTGGTCCAGCTTCCCAGGGGATAGAAAGCTCGCTCCAGCTGGCATTTAGAGCAGCCCCTCCACTGACATGGTGGCATCAGTGGGGCAGAGCTCACACGGAGCCATGCCATCTCCTGACCCACTTCTCCCTTGTCAGCACAGATGAGCTTGGACAGCCACGTGCAGGAGGGAGCACCCTGGGGGCCCTGACACCCTTTGGGCTTGAGGAATGCTGATGGGCAAAGATGGCCCTCAACTGGGATGGGAGAACATCAGAGCTGTCAAGCTCTGGCCTGCCTTGCATCTCAGCCCCAGGAACGAGCTTGGGCGGGTGGAAGCTGTTTTTCACCGGCTTTTTTTCTGGCACTAAAGCAAGGCATGAGGGAGAAACCTTGCCGCCTTCTCCTGGCCCCATGCAGCAGCTACAAAAGGCTATTCTGGGGACCTGCTTCCTTTCAAAGTGTTTGAAGGTCTCCAGCGTGACTGCTTCAGCTCCTCTCAACTATTTAATAATAGTTCCATTTCTTTTAGAAAATCATAGAGTTTTCCTAAAGGGCCTAAAAGGTCCCATTTTCTGATCTCTCCTATACCTGACTCCCACCAGCCATCTTCACAAACCATCACCCAATATCTTCTTGAATACATTGGGGATAAGATGACGCCTCCCTCCCAAAGGGGCTTATTCATCACGAAACAACAAAAGAGAAGCAGCCCCAGAGAGGCAGTGTGGTCTAGTGGAAAAGGTACAAGCTTTGGAGGCAACGGCTTGGAGTCCAAAGTTGTGTGGTTTTGAAGCAACTTCACCTGGCTGAGTGTTTTGTTCCTAAGCTTTAAAAATGACTTGATAATACCTACCTCACAGACTGTCATGATTGGATGAAATGAGATGTGCCTGGTGGATGACACATAATAGGTGCTCAACAAACATCAGTTCTCTTTCCTCCTTCTGGACTTTCTGGTGGCCCCTATCCACTGACATACTCATCCAAATGCCACAATGCATGCTGGATAGTGTCCTCCTCATTTTCCAGATGAGAATGAGGTTCAGAGGGGTGATGCAACTTGTACTGGTCCCACAAAGTCAAAAGAAACTTAAACTTAACTAGCTAGTCCTCTCTCTCTTTGACATTAGCTGAAGGTTAGCAGCCAACTTCAGTTCAGAAGACCCTTTCCACCTTTAGTTCTCAGGGCCCCCCACTCACAGCATCCTGTGCTTTGATGGCAAATCCAACTCAGGGCTGGGGACAGCTCAACTCCTGTTAACCAAGGTGTGCCTTTGACATTCCTGCCCTCCTCTCCTGAGCAGATGAGAGAGGGGTTGCTCTGGGAACTGGGGTAGAAAGGATGAGAAGAAGGAGATGGAACAGGGAAGTGTATGTGGAGTGGGGGAGGAGAGATGTAAGGTCAGCAAAGGAGGAAGACGAGATGGAGAGATGGACACGAGAACCTTAGCCTCCTTTCCTAGTGAGTGAATGGTGGGGAGGTGAAGGATAGTGGGACTCAGCAGCCTGATCAGGGACCTGGGACCCAAGGTGGACACTAACTGGCTCTGTCCTCCCAACAGATCAAAGCAAGAAGCCCTTCTTGCTTTCTCTCCTATCTCCTAAACCTAGCACATATGGACAGGCCTCAAGCCCAGATTTATCTCAAATCAAACCATTTCAAGATCCTCCTTCTGGAATCACCCATTTTTATGGTTGGTGAAACTACTTGGAAAAGGATGTGTAATCAGGTTCTTTGGCTTTCCTCATCTCCCCACCTGTCTGTGCTCACACTCCACCCCCCAACCCGCCCACCTACCCTCCCCCATCCTGGTTATTTCAGTCCTGGCAGCCTCCTTTGGCAGCACAGAAATCCAGAAGGCCCAAGACTCTGAGTTTTGGGCCCAGCTCAGTAACCAGTCCTCCAGGCATTCCCCTGGCTGGGTCCTCTCTGTTTTCACTGCCAATGTCATAGTAGTGCCATGCCTGGGAAGATCTGGGCTGCGGCCACAGAAGTCACTGAAATGATCATTTCCCCCAGAATGGATCAGAATTTTCTTTTTCTTTTTTTGGTACCAGAGATTGAACTCAGAGGCACTTGACCACTGAGCCACATCCCCAGCCCTATTTAGTATTTTATCTAGAGACAGGGTCTCACTGAGTTGCCTAGCGCCTTGCCTCAGTGTTGCTGAGGCTGGCTTTGAACTCACGATCCTCCTGTCTCAGCCTCCTGAGCTGCTAGGATTACAGGCATGCACCACCAAACCTGGCTAATAATACGGCCATCAGATTTGTGGTTATTGCTGCTGGGGACTGAAGTCAGGGCCTTGTGCATGCAAGGCAAACACTCTACCAACTGAGCTATATCCCCAGGCCCCAGAGTGAACAGAATTTTAAAGAATGTCCAACCTAGGCCAATCCAGGTACTTCAAGATAATCTTAAGTTCTTAGTAGAAGTAGTGCCTTGTCACTCCCTGTTCCTGGAAGGTCAGTGTTTGGGAACATGTTCTATTTCCTGTGCTGCTGAGGGAGCCCTGGGCCAGAGATGTCTAGTTAGTTGTTGTGGTAAGACACTGGGCAGGCTACTTAGTCCCACCTAAGTCTTAGTTTTTTCATCTGAGAAATGGAGTTAACACCATACTCACATGCACAAACATATGCGTGTGCACGCTACCAATTATGGGAACCAAATTGGGCAGAGTCACACACCAGGGTGGGCAGGGAGTGGATGGAAATACAGTAGGGGCAAATTTCAAGTCTGCATAAAGTAATAAGAACTGCCACCAGGAGCTGAGTGCCCCAGGGCCTGGCTCCAGGAAGCATTACTTGAGGCATGCCATCCAAACTACAGTCTTTGCCAGGATGCCCAGTGGGGCACAAGTGTGAGGACCCACATACCTGGTTCCTCAGATTCTGCACCAGGTCCAAGCTGTGTAGTGTGGCTATGGAACCATTAAACATGGCTGCATCTCCAACCAGGGTGGCCCTCCTCTGAGCCCACCCACAGGCTGCAGCACAGTCTGGTGGGGCCCACAGAGTAGGCAGGAGGATGGGGCTTAGCTGGTGTCAAGTTCAACCTTATTGTGGTTGTGGAGGGCAAAGTCCCCGAGCAGGACTGGGGTCAGACAGAGAAAGGTGATGAGTGTGTCTGGCACAGAGCAGGTGTACTGCCTGGATGTGACATTCCTGAGCAAGTGGATGGTGTGATGGTGAGGAAGGCGGGAGCCTGTCAGATAACAGCATGCCCAGTTAATTTGAATTTCAGATAGACCCCAGGACATTTTCTTAGTTCTGTCTCGTGCAAAATTAGGGCATAATGATACTAAAAAGTCATTTATCTGAAAAGTTAATTTAGCTGGGCCTGTGTTTTATTTGCTAAGTTTGGCATCCCCTGGAGTTGGGGTGAGGAGTCTTATCTGCTGAACTTGCCTGCCAAGGCCCACTCACCGGAGAAGAACTGGCTGATGGAAGTGGGCAGGAGCGTGAGGAAGGCCAGGGGATGGGCGAAAGAGATGGACAGGACAGCAGAGATGTAAGCCACTCCGGCCACCATGGAATAGAGGCAGGCAAGGGAGGTGTAGAGGCAGAACAGGACGAAGTTGCGCATGTTCCTGCTGCCGATGCAGTTGCCGGTGAAGAAACAATGGTGGTCGTGCCGCAGCGTGACTCGGGCGCACACCCGGCAGAAGTGGGTGCTGGGCGGGGGGCACAGAGCCCTCTTGGACGAGGTACCCTGGCAGGCGTCCAGGTCGTCCGGGGAGTTCTGGATGACCAGGACATAATTGCCCAGGGCGTTGGCGGAGAGAAATAGGAAAAGCGCCCCGTGGAGCAGGGCAGGCGAGAAGAGAGGGGCAGCCGCGGGGTCCTCGCGCATGCTGGGCAGGAAGAGGAAGAGTTGCAGCACGAAGGTCACCAAGGAGATGCACAGAAAATAGGCGGGGGCCACGACGTTGAGCAGCCTCAGGGCCAGCATCCTCGATTACATTCCTAAGGAGCGCGGGATGAGAGAAAGACTGACTTACTGAGGTGGCCAGGGGGCGCCCTTGCGCGCTCCTAGCATCTCCCGTCGGAAGGGCTGCAAGCAAATCTACTCCCCCAACCCCAGTCCCGGGGGGTCATCCTTCTCCATTTCTCTAATCCGGGACCAAGCAAGCCAGAGATCACGAGACCACAGCGGGCTCCTGGGGCCAGGCCCTACCTCGGGGAGGCTGCTCCCTCGAATTTTGAGTGACCTTAGGGCTCTGTCGCCACGGGGTCAGGCACAAGAAGGGAAGGGCTTTTTCGTAGTCTGTAGGGACCGTGGGGAGGAGAGGGCTAGGGCTGCGCGCCGCAGGGCAGTGGAAATGAGCCCAGGTTTGGGATTTTTGGTTCAGGCCTCCCCAGGAGACGGCAGAGAGGATTTGAGGCCGGGGGACAGAGGGAACCATTTGACCTACAGGAAGTCCTCCTTCACTTCCCCTTCTTCCGCCCCCCCCCCCCCCATCCTCACTTTGGGCAATACCCAGGGATCTCATTGGTTACCCAAGGCTCTTTGGAGGTATGTTTGTGTATGTGTGGGCCCGTGGCGGGGGGTGCGAGTGACCGTACGTGTGATCTATGTGCGCCTGGGTGTCTGTGTTTGTGTGTCTGTGTGTACACACACGCAATCACTGCTTCCTGGCTTTTTATTTAAAAATCGATTCAAACAATCGATACATTCACACGCGCACATACATTCACACGCGCTGGGTGGGTTGGGGGCGCAGCGGGAATACTTCTGCTTGTGAGTCCTTCCTGCCCAGCCCATCTCTCCGACTCTGGCTATTTGTTTGCAAAGAGCGTTTTCCTTTGAGGCGACGAAATTAAAATCCCCCCTTCGCGCCCGCCTCTCGCCCTTCTGGCGGGAGACACCCAAACAATCCCCACGGCGCCGAAACCCTTTCGATGCCAAGCCCTCCCTGAGCGGACGAGTAGATTCTCGTGTCCCTTTCCTGGGATGGACACCCCTCCACCCTGCCGGGCGCAGCTCCCACCACATCCCTGCCTCACGCCAGCCCCCGGACCCCCGGAGCCCGGGTTCCTGCTCAACTTCGGAAGCCACCGGGAAATAGCATTCTGCGCGCTGGAGAGAACTTTTCCGGGGGCTAAGGAATTGGACAGGAGGAGGCTCGAGAAAAGTTCTGGGAAGGCGGCTGCACCCAGGATGGATGGATGCCACGGGGCCTCGGTCCAGGCAGTCCCATCTGGATGGAGGGGACGGGTCACCTTGGAATCCTCTTTGCAGGTGATGGCGTCCCCCCTCCCCCGGGACCCGCGGCTGTGGTGGGCAAGCGCAGGCCTCTCTCCGCAGCTGGGTGCAGCGCCGGGCGCGCCTGAGCCTGGTTGCTGGGGCGCGGTACCGCCCCCAGCCGTGCGCCTCCGGAGGCTGCGGCGGCGCTGCCCACCCCGGAGAGCCCTGGGTCCGGGGCTCCAGCGAAGCAAGTGTCTTCCCGGCGCCAGTCGCCAGGGGGGCGAGGGAGCAGCCTCCAGATGTGCCGCGGCGCTGGGAACGCAAGGACAGGGGCTGGGGAGTGAGGGGCGCTCCGCAGGCGGCCGCAGCGCGGGAGAAGGGACGGGCCAGGGCGCCCCAGCGGCCTGGGGTGCAGGGAGCTGTCCGCTCAGCCCTGGCGCCCGCCTCGCCCGCCACGGAGGGCGGCACAGCGGAGCCCTGCCGAGGCAGGCAGCGCGGGAGGCTGCCGGCTTGTCGGCCACTGCCTTCCGGACGCCGGGGAAGCCGCCCCCCGCGCCACCGTCGCCACCGCCTCCGCCGCACCGCCGCAGAGGGGTGGGGAAATGAACTCACCGAGCTCTGGTCGCCGACAAGAGGAGCCCAGAAGCCGGCTCGTGCCCGCCCAGAGGCTGCAAAGTTGTGGGCTCGGCCCGGCTGGCCCTCAGCCTTCTCACGCTTCGCTTCGGGGACTGGGCAGGTAGCGGGGCTGTGGGGAGGAGGGAGCGGGCAGCTGCCGTCCTCCCACTTGGGCGCCAGCGAGTGGGGGCCAGGAGGCGGCAGGGATGGCAGCTGGGCCCCCCTGCCCCGCCCCCTCCCTCCTCCCCTGGGGGCGGTGCTCTGGCCACAGTCTCAGCATCGTGGACTTGCCCCCCTTCCTCCCCTCTTCTTGGTTCCCCTGGAGCGGGTTGGGGCGCCCTGCCTGACTTCAGCCTTGGTTGCAACTGGGAGATAGGAATTCGTCCCTGATGTGGATGCTCCAGCCATCACCCAATCCTTCTTTCCTTCCTTCTTCCCGGCTATGACCAGAAGGGAACTTGGGGTGTTGATAGGCAGCTTACCAGGGCAACACCCAAGAAGTCAGCGTCATCTCCTCAGGAGGGCTGTGTACCAAGAGATTGCAAGGGGACCCCCGGCCTTTCGGCCTGGGTTTGAATATCCACCATTCACCGCTGTGTGATCCTAGATTCCAGGATCCTCATCTGGAGAATGGAGATGTGAGGATTAAACGGCAATAGATGTGAAAGCCCCTAAACAGAGCCTATCTAGGGGAAGCACTGTGTCTTGGACCACAGTCATGGATAGTACCTCTCTGGATTTCCTGTGTACCAGGCTCACAAGCTTTTAGCATAAGAGTCCTTCATCCGTCCTCTCAGTATGATCTGAGCAGCTGCATGAGCCCCATTCTGGGATGAGAAGGTTGGGATTCAGGAGCTAAGTCACTGCTCAAGGTCACACAGTAGGTGAGTGAACAGATTCTGGATTTGAACCCAGTTTTAGCACTGGTGTTGCTGCTCTCAGCCTCAACACAATCCAGCATCACCTTGGGACCCAGCAGCAGCTTTGATTTGGGGAACAGGAGGACAACAAGGGGGTTTATCCCACACAGAGCTCGAACCTGGAGCTGCTGCTTGGAGCCCCAGCCCCAACTCCCTGCTCTTTACCACCTTCCCCTTCTGGGACTCCAGTGTTCTCAGATGGGTACTGTGTGGCATCAAGAGGGTAGTGACACATGTGTGCCTAATGGGGGCGCGATCATAAAGAACACCTTAGAACACTGGATGGTGCAAGGACGTTGGTTGTTGGACCATGATGGCTCACTTGGGTGCCCAGCTCCACTCCTCTGCACCCAGGCCAACCTGATACATGTTGACTGCTTTCTCAACTCGTTGATTAAAATAAGAGCAATCCCTTGAAGTGAGGGCCATATGCCGATCGGCTCATCCTCTATTTTTGAATCATCAGACACTGTTTTCTCTGGATTGTATCAGCACACATAAAAATAAAAAGGGGGCCAGGAAACCTTTTCATGTTCTGAAAGGCTCTTACAGGCCAGTGGAAGAACAGCGTGCCAGGTGGTGGCCTCCGGGAATGGCCTCTGAGAATCCAGAAGCTCTGTGAGTTCCAGTGGCCACAGGACAGACATAAGGAAGCACAAGTGGCCTTTTTCCCTTCAGAGCAGCTTTGAGTGACAGGCATGGCTGTCTGGCCCCTTTCACAAGTGCTGCCTGCGTCTCCCACTGGCTTGGGAGGCAGAGGCACCTGGAGCGCTTGGTTTGGGCCATACTGATTGAAGATCTCCATTCCTTAAATACCTTGAGAGTCGGGTGGTATTTCTAATTTTATTTTGCATATGGGTGTGTGGTGGGAAGGTGTGTGTCTGAATCTGTGTGTGTGAGGGGAAGACAGAGAGAGAGAGAGGAGCTAAGCGAACGTGGGAAGATGTCAGTGGGGGAAGGGAACATTCAGGAGAGAGAAGATCCAGTCGTTCGAATACAAACGGATGAGGATAATTATTTATTTAGAAATATCGTTATCATCAGAAAAGGACATTCAAGCTGCAGCTCTAGAGCTTGTGGTCCCTTAGCCCCCATTAAAGTAAGGAGCCAAATAGATTTCTAAAATGAGTGCTTATCTCGGACCAAATCAATAGGGAGGCCATCTGAAACTTCATTTTGATTCTGGCTCCAACAGAATTAAGCAGCTGAAGAAGGAGCATTTTATGGCCATGTGAACTCGAGCGAGTCATTTAACCCCTCTGCTGTCTGTATTCTTACCCATAAAAATGGGCTTAATGGTGTTGCATGGTGGCGATGGTGATGAAATGGAATAATGTCATTTATGTGCCCTGGGCTCAGCGGAAGATTGGACAGCGTTTGCGTCTCCCATCTCCCGTCTCTCTTCTGGGCTCTTTATCCACAGGGCTGTCTTCTGTTTCCAACTCAGATGAAACCTCTGGCCTCTATTGGAAATATTTTGGAGTCTCCTCTGGTTTGCCCAGGGTTGACCTGAGTAAAAGCGTACCAATGGATGAATCAGTACTGGTCTCTCTGATGGGAAAAGCTGTACCCTGAGGTCTTTGAAATGTCCCATGAGGCCTTATTTGCTATTGATCTTGCATCCTGCCACCCCCACCCTAACTACAGCCTCATTCTCCATTTACAGTGTCACAGGATAATTTATGAAGCACGTTCTCACCGCCCTTGTCGTATGTTCTCATAGTTCAGCTGTGACTGAACCTGCAGATGGTCCCAAGAGGGCAGGGACACAGATCAGCATCTGATTGCTGCTGAGTACTTTCCTGGAGATATGTGCCATGCATTTTCTATTTCATGGTGTTGTCTGAATAAAACGAATTCCCTTCCAAGTGGCAACTCCGTTTTGCCACAAAATGTTGTATTCAAAGAAAGAAACTCCATGAGACAGCCAGCTTCTCCCACAGGTGAGGGACCAACCCTGTGTCTGTCAGGCCCCATGGTTCCCTAGATGTTTGGGAGAGGGCTGCAGGGCTTGGGTTCATCCTCATGCTCTTATTTCAGATAGAGGTGAATGATAGACTTGGTCTCAGGTTAATGGGTGCTCTGAAATTAAGAGGGTACTAGACGTCCTCAGACAGGATGCTCTTTGTGGCTAACAGCAAATCATCGCCAGGGGCAACCACAAAGTGCTCCCCCAAGTCTCTGAAGGCTTAATAAGGCGCCATCCCTGCCTGCCTGGATTTGGAAAACATATAAGGGCAGTTCATCATCTTAGCCCACTGAATACATGGAAATTGGATTATCACAGAATTTCTATTTGGAGGTGGTAATTTACTTTGCCAACTATGTCTTCATTTTAACAATAATTACATTACTTTGCAGGTTACAAAGTATCTTCACAAAATTAAAAATTCCATTCCATCAGTCTCTCAACAGGTCTGTAGCTAGCTGGGATTCAAAAATATTAAACCCATTTTTTCTTATGAGAAAACTGAGGTTTGGAGGTTTGTTACATGTCAATTTGAAAGCCTTGCCTATGTTGGATTTAAAATGCAAATCAATATGCAAAGATCTCATGGATATTTAGCCTTTCTGAACGTGATATCTGCATAAAGGAAGCAGGCATGTAACATTCCCCTAGAATAAAAGACCTGCTGATCTCTCTTTATCTAAAACTGCTCTGCTCTTCACCCTGTGTCCCATCTACTCTTCGATATTTGTCCCCAACACCACTTATCACCACCTGACACAGTGTATATTTATCTGCTTACCATTTGTCTCTCTTACTAGAATGCCAACTCTATGACAGCAGTATTTGGACTGTTCTTGTCACAGATGTATCCCCAGTGCCTATAACTGTGTCTGGAACATAGTAGGTGCTCAGTAAACACAGTAGGTATTGAACAAATGAACAGATGTACTAGGCAAAAGTGAACATATAAACCTGCAGCACATTGACCAAAAGCTCTCAAACACTCTGCTGTTTGTGGTGCTGAAAGGGAGTGTGAGGCTGGGTTCACGAATGCTAAAAAGTCCTGAAGGTCACCCTGTGGGCGACAGGCAACCCCAGCAGTCTCTCTCATGGGGATGCACCAGGGTGGGAATCTTGGCTTAGCATGGACGACCCCTTTGCCGTGCTCAGGCCATGGAAGAATGAATGCCATCTTTCCCCAATTAGCCCTGGTTTCCAGGGATCTCTTAGGCCATCCTGGTAGGGATGCTAAAGCCTGCCGACCAGCCTGCAGCTTTGCAGCAAGATTAATTGGCTCTTTCATCTTAGAGAATGCGGGAGGTTGAGGAAAGGAAAAAGGGGTGGAGGGAGGGAGAGGAGGAGGGAGGGAGGGGACAGAGAGGAGAAATGGGCGGCGGTAAAAGAGGGCGCTTGCTGACCCATGGTGGTTTATGGCTTCTTAAGAGGAAGCTCAGGAGGTGCAGGGTGGGGCGGGGGTGTCAGCTGTGGCTGTGGTGAGCCCAGCAACACCAAGTGTCCAGGATGGGAGGGATCCGGGCCAGAAGGGTGACATCTCAATTAGAGGAGGAGGGAGGGAAGACCAGGGGAGTGAGGTTACCACAGTGTCCTTGGCTTTTTAGAGACCTCTTGGATATGTTGCAGCCACAGAGCTGCAGGCAACACCGACTTCACACCCATGACCCCCGCCTCCCTTCTACTCTACTTCCCCCTGTCCCAGAGAGACTGCTCTGGGCCCAGGAGAGAGGTGGTTTGTTATTATGAAAAAAAATAATAATAAGTTTTTGATGTCCGCTGACCCGGACTTGAGCCTCTGTATTCTCATTCACTTGCTATGTGACCTTGAGCAAGTTCCTTAGCCTCTCTGAGCCTCAAATTCCTTGTCCGTTAAATGGGATCTTTAGGTAATTTGCAAAGTTCATTATGAGTTTTAAGTGGCAAAGATTTCAGCTTGATGGATAGCACCTGCACCTTCCACCAGACTGTAGCCTCCACACTACTGCAATCCTACAGTCCCACTACCCCCACCTACCGCCCTCTGCTTATCTCAATTGCTTATTTGTTTGTTGATGGCGTCTTTCCATCTGTAAATATCTGTAGGCTGGTTTCTGCAGCCTGTACCCACATAGAGCCTGGCAGAGTGGGAGCTCAATAGATATTCAAATAAATAAATTATAAATAAATAATAAATTCCAACTCAATATCTGACCTTTAAAACACAGGCTCAGGAGAACAACAAGCAAATGGGATAAAACCAAAGATTCCTATTTCCTGATGCCTGTTATGTGCCAGGCCCATGGGGGCCCAGGTGCCTACA